CTTATAAGGCTAAAAGACATGCCCAAGACAGGAATCGAACCTGTGTCGCCACGGCCACAACGTGGAGTACTAACCACTATACTACTTGGGCCGAAAGAATATTGAATTTTGTTAAAAACGAAACTGCAACCACATCGCCCTTTTAATCAAATAAAAAACCTGAGAGAGTCTGTAACTAGCTCTGCTCAAAATAAAACTTCTGTTAATTGATTTGTCTGTGTGTTATTTCATTTCTCCCATCAGTATTGAAATGCATTTGACTTGTTTAACTCGTCATCGAACTATATGCTGACTGTGTGTTGGGTTGGGGTGAGAGAGGTCGCTCTCTCTATGTGTATTTCAGAAGACAGTTTTTAATAATAAAACAACTTTATTATAATATAATACTATGTACATCTGGCAATAATTCAAAAAATGAAAAAAAAAACAAAAAAAATTAAGTTTTTTGTAAAAATCAAACAAAATTTCAGATCAAAATAGACGCTTGGCGTTTATAAATAGGATTTGTTCAAGTAAGCACCGGTCGGAATAGATAGTTTGGACTATGTACGATGGAATTATGATGACTTGAATTGATAGTTAAGTATGAGTTACCGACTATGATCACATCTTCTCTCTGTTGCATAGGTGATTCTGAGACATTCAGCCGTCTATGTCGAACAGTCGTGAATAGCGCTTTTCAAAATTTCGACTCGATCGTTTAGGTGTAACCCAATCGATGTCATTGAAGTACTTTGTATTTCGGTTTTCATCTATTTCCGGCACTTGTCTGATAGTTGATGGGTGTCGTTTCTCTTTATGCTCCGTTGGCATATCATAGGTGACAGTCTTCCAATCGTCTTTGTTCCAAGCGACGAAGTGAAGAGGAACAGGCAGCTGTTCCTGTAGAACGGAATAGTGAGTTACTAGCATTTGAAGACTGGCGAAGTTCTTGTTGAATCCCTGCAAAAACAAATAATTACATTCATTACTTCTTTGTTTCATTAGTTTGATAGTACTCGAGCATCTCATTATGGATTCGCCTTGTAAGGGCATGTAAGAGAGAGAGAGAGAGAGAGTGAGAGAGAGTAGCGAAACAAAGCAATATGGAGTTTGTACAATAGTTCTCATGTTGGACTACAAATTATGCAAATTACACAATCTGTACAGACTTGTTCATAAAAGGTAAATAGATACAGTAGAGGCTGGGAAAGGCTTGTATTACTACTTAATGGGACCATTATGATATAATTTGAGGTTAACTAAGTGTTCGATGTAATTTGCATAATTGAGATGCCTGAGAAAGTAAAACTTGGCTTACCTTAATACGGTATCCATCTTCATTGCGGATGATTAGGTAATGAGCTATTCCTGATGCATTGTAGTTTTGAGGTACTCGAACACTTAAGGCTAAGCATCGTTTCTTGGATTCAGAATATCGCACTACGAATGCTCCTTCTGGATGCGATAGAAGATTTCGAACAAGCAATTCTCTGAAAATATATTTATGAGTGGATAGGTCTAATTCCAATTATGGTAATTGAATGTATACGAACACGTGGTGTGACGTCATGTTTTTAAGATCTTTCGGCTCTTTTAGATGGCTTTAGGGATAGCAGTAGTTTGACCCTTGATAACCCTTGCACCTGTTGTCATGTGGGTCATGATTGCTCAAAACTGTTCGAAGGAATTTATAAATGTAGTGACAAGAGGTCGGTCATGATTCAGTATCTGCCGAACTTCAACTCAGACAGATGGTCAGCAGGCACAAGAAATAACATGGAGTACGGTAAAAGGTTACAGGCTCGGCTGGTGTTCGTTTGACCTCATCAAATAAAAATCTTGAGAACTGTGATGCGTAATGGTAAGTTGCAAACACAAGCAAGACCATATTTGAGCCTAATGAGTGGCTTTAAGCACTTATCATGAGCTTAGACGTTTATGAGGATGACAGATGATTTTTGGAAACCCTATAAGGACACCAAAAAAAACGAGAAAAGCATTTGCATTGTTGCTGTTGCTTATGATTGCGGAAGAGATAAGAAGAGCAAAAGCAAGTTATTCAGTAATTGTTCTCATTATGCGTATTGTTAAATGGAAATACCGTTAGAGGAGAAGTTGACCTCTGAGATGAATTGATGTCTGGCTGAGAACGATTATAACCGCTGTGAATAACCATTTGAGAAATAATTGTCGGAAAGTGAATGAAATAGAGATGACAAGTTAGAAGTAAAGAGTTATGCGACTCCTTTTCAAACTTCAAACGTTTGCTTGTCTGACCTATGTACAATAGCAGGAAGTAATGGATATCAAAGAGTGTGCCTTTCTAATCTTTCCTTCAAGCCATGTCTATTCTTAGCCAATGGAGAAAAGGAAAGCAAGAGCCAAAAGATCAAAAATGATTCTGTCTTCACAAGACTAGACGTTCATCTTCAAATCAGACAGTAATCCTCACCTTGTAGGAAGTTTCACGAAGTAGTTGACGTTTTCGAGTTGTGCTTGAAGGGATTCACCGATAGGATAGATCATTTCTCCTAACTTTTCATCAAAGATGAGAGCTGGAGGGGTATCAACTATCTGTAAAGGAGAGTTGGTTATCAAGAGTTCATTGAAATTATCCATACCTTGCTATGTCTATGATTATCTTCTGAAGTTGTAGGTGGAATTGGTTCTTCAGGAACGGGTGAAGCATTGACTCTAGTCATTGGACGACGTCCATCATGAACAGTTGGTTCATATGCTGACATCTGTAAAGAATAGTTGAGATAGACAGTCTTTCAGTTATCCGCAATGTTTTGAATAGCTTATTAGATAAGCGATTTGCATCATTCAAATGTCGTCCAACATAATTGAATATTCGTAGAAAAAACATATTAAATGGCTTATAATTACATCCAATGACCATTACGTCATCTCCAAACGATGTGTGAAGCCCTCTGTGTTTTATGTCTAATTGATGAGATCACAACATTCGCTGCCTACTCATATTATCTTGCATTGACCGAACGAAAAACAAATTTGAATTCTGGCTGTCACAACCATCCCACCCCCCACACACACACATTGTAAACAGTAAGCTACTTGAGCTTAAGTGTATTCATCAATGGATGTTTCTTTTTTACATCTTCTAAGACAATAGAAAATTACTTTTTATGGACCCAGTGCTGTTCATCTGCTCCTTCACATCTAACAATAACCTTCTTTCTCTTTGTTTTTCAAAAACTATGAGCTATGAAACCATATAATTTCCATTCGGATCTCTCTATCTATACAAGTACTTCTGATGACAGAAGACTCACTCCCTCTGACCATTTTAGAAGCGCCAGACGGACAATCATTCGATGTGAGCAATGTCTGCTTACGGATCTCATTTTCAGATTACGTAATGAAGAACTTCTTCAGATTCTTACGTCATTTGAAAATCCGAAAAATCTGGCGCTCTATCAGGTCATCAAGCTGAAGAGCTATTGCTGTCTGTTGGCAACTGACACGGTGGTTGGTTATGCATTGAACCTGTCACACGTTTATAGCATAATTGGAATTATCTTATTTCTACCCAATGTCCATATATGGTATAGTTAACAGAGTACTATCTCTCAAGATTACGCAAGGATATGACTGTGGGAGAGCAAATGAACTGTAGCCGCATCATTTCATCTTCTTCTAGACAGAGCTTACTAGCCGAAAGAAAAACTTTTTTTTACGACTTCCCTCACATAAAAAACAAAAATCATCTTTTCTTTCATTCTTTTTTATCTTTGAACATGTCATTCAAATTCTTTTCTTCCATGTTTTCAAATCACCAAACATACTTACTCGTTTCTGACTGAGAGTGGCTGTCGATGAGAGACGTTGAAATGCTGAGAACACAGCACTGACAGGACGTCTTTTTCTGAAAACAAGACGGATTAGAATATCCACGTGCTAGAGCCTTAATGGGAAACAGCGAAACAATCTGTCTCTTCTCCAATATTAACAGTCTTCACATATTCATCTTTCTCTTCCTTCATTCATTATGAAGGCTCTCCTGGTGGTCAATATGTTGTTCCATATCGTGCTGTGATCAAATCAATCACATACTTACATTTCATTTCAAAAAGCTTCGAAACAAAACCAAAAAAGGAAAAAGAAGACTTTCATATCAGACCACCCATTGAGTTGATTCTCTTGATGAACAAATGCTTACCTCTTGGATTTGGCTGAATCCTCAACAATGCTGTCGCGTCCTTTGCCCATCAATCGACTCAAGAAAGCCGTTGAACTGGCTCTCTTCTCAGACATGGTTCCAGCAGGAATCTGAAAAAAAGCACAAAAATGGTCATTCAATTCAAATCTATTCATATATAATATATAATTAACTTACCTCAAATGCAGTTATTAGATGACTATAGGACATTATGAGAAAGGATACTATGCAGTTAGGAATACTAACTATACTATATACTCAACTAGTTAACTAGTACATTTACGAATAAGCTAACATCGACAATTAGGAAGATGGCCTTTCAATGTCAACTCTACTCTCTAACATCAATTTTTTCTCTTCACCATCTCCATTTTATATGCTATTACAAGCAATTATAATATTAGGAAAGATGGCTCCTATGCTATGTCCATCACAAAGCCCTCCACCTTAGCTCATAAAAACAGCGGCGAGGCTTTTGAATGGGGCTATGTTGTCTTCAAACTAAGTCAATCAACACAAATGCCGATGAATTCCACCTGTCACGCTGATTATTCGTTCATTGATCAAGTTATTAAAGAAAACAATTTGGAATCAATCTTCCCCTCATATTGCCTCTATTAAGAACATCTCTCATAACATCTCATCATCGGTGGTCTATTGGATTGAAATTGAATATCAATAGATGGCCTTTCCGACTTTTGTAACAAATTAAGTACATAGAGAGAGATGAAGAGAGAGAGAGAGAAAGATCTTCTTCCTTTTGTATAAAAAATGGAATGTGAATATCAAATTACAATATTACAGTCATCATCATCATCATCATCATCACACTCTTCTATTAATCATCATTTTCTTTAAAGTTTATAAAATACTTACATGTGGTGTTGAGGTCAGCAATGTTCGAACGGATTTTGATTGTGCCATAGCTGTAGGTGCTAACATGGTTGCTGATGCAGCCATACTAGGTAATGGTGCTCCACGAGTAGCAAGTAATGCTGCGTGAAAAGCACTACCAATAACTGATTCAATTTCTTCAACCTATAAATGAATGAGTAAGATTTTGAAATACAAAATGAAAAATGAACACAATGAGGAGTCTTTCTTTAAAACAATTGATTGAGGTCGATTTGAATGAAATGGAGATTTCAATGAAGAGCGCTCGCTGGATGAATGAAATAAAAAAACGGAAAGAAAAAATGTCTCAACATTCAAAGACGATAACGTTGTTGTGAAAATGAAGAAACGTCCTTGTATGGCAAGTGGAACTGCTAGTAGTCGAAGCAACTCGAGGTTAGCATCTCACTGTGCGAGTAAACTACAATCCTATCATTAACTTCATACAGCTCTCTCTCTCTCTGTATAAGTTGCAGCTGTCTTCCTCCTACTATCACATTCAAGACTAATGATAACCTTTTGAATTTGAAATAAAACTTCTCTTCCTCTCAATTGGCCAATTGCCAACGTTATTATCTTGTCCCTTATAAGGGTAATTAGAAGAAGACGAAAATTAGTTTGAAACGCGTGTATGTATGCTCATCATCTCAATTTCAAATAGTAGATTGAGTTAGTTGTTAACTAATTACAATTTTTTGAAACTATTTCAGTCCATCAACCTATTTTCATTATCGTCTGTCGCAATCTTGTTCAAAGAGTCTCTCTTCAAAGAGACTCTCTCAAGAAGAACACACTACGTAAGATCAACGTTGTCTATTCGAATATTGGAATGCAACCTTACTGTGACGTCTTTCATTTCAATCTGAATGTTGTAGGTGGTTGTTATATGATACATAATCACAAAACATATCTAATGTATAGTTTGATACACATATTTACCGTAACCATCCCTCTACCACTCCTTTGCCCTTCTTTCTCCCCCCTGTACACAGAGATTCCCGGAGATTCTGTTGACAGTTAGAGGAGATGAAGACAAGTGTGTGAATATCTGTTCTAACAGGTCACTCAACAGCATTTCTTCCTCATCTTACTTTCAAAGGTCAATTAGTTGTCTAACAAATTTCAAAATAATGCTCGAGATTTTCGATAAATCACCTAAATTGGTCAACTCTTTTGAAGTAGCATTTCGCCGCAAACGCCTAAAGCCAATCACAATGAACTTCAAGGGTCATAGCCTTGAAAAGCCAGGTGGTCAATGTGAATAGGAAGAGGAAAAGAAAATGAAGACGATATGTCTATGTACCCAGGTGTTATCGTATGAAAATGAGGAAGTGAAGCAAATCAGTCAGTATGAGAGATAGCTTCAAACCGTATAGCATCATCTATCTACTATAGCATTTGCAGATGCCATTATATATATATAATATTATAAAAAAAGGAATTTGAATAACTAAAAATGAAATATAAAATGAATGAATTACAATCAGTCAGAAGGATGAGTAAGTAAGTATGAAGAGGATAGAATCATGAAGTTTCAAGAGTACATCATCTCTCATGGTGAATGAAAGATGGAAAAGAGTTGTTGCTCTTGTGCCTTCTTCAACCTCACCCTAACTATTAGCTTAAATAAGGATAGACTAATGAATTGCGCAATAACTATTCACTCCAAATCAAAATATAGAACAGCATGATGTATAATGAATAGACTATAGAGCTATTAGTCTTCAGACGATTGTCTTCTATAATCCATCTTATTCTTTCACCAGCAGATAATTTCTATATATGATAGCTGCATACATCCTTCCTCTCTTGGTATTTGGGATTGTTGTTAATTCGGCTGCCACCTATCTCCCTCTATCTCCCCTTCTCTTAATCCTCGCTCCCTTCTTTCTCTTCCTTCCAGCAAAACGAGTAAATGTAAATGAGAATGTTAACTATGAGACGTTCAAACGTTCAAATAATTCAAAATGACGATAGCACTCATGCTGAGATCTCTTTTAGGTAGATTGAATTGTAATTGAAAAGACGTCGTCAGAGATGAGACATGGATATTAGATGAGGAAGAAACAGGATAAGAAGACATGAATAACTTACATCTTGTAAATCATGACATCTGAATACATGGCATTTCTTGCGATAAGTCTGTCCACTGGATTCCATAGCTATGTAAGCAACTTCTTTCATTGCTGGTCTGCCAACAACTGACAGAATTCGTCTCATTGAATGTCCAATAAGAAGATCCTGAAAGCAAAAATAAAAATAAACAATTGATATATTTATGAATATACAATCAACTGTTTGTCATTTATAAGGTTATAAAAGTCATCATCCTTCTAGCATGAAGCGTGTGTGTGAGAGTCAATTGCTATTGGCTTGAACAGCCATTAACATCATCCTCATCATCTCAATGACTACCGTATATAGTAATATATGATTGATATTTAACTATGTGTATAGTATACTGAAGTTGAAACATTGAAGTTTCAATATCAAGTTGTTGTTTATAACCTCAAACAAACAATCATGCTGTTATCTCACAGCAGTATCTTGTCAGACAACTGTTGTGTATGTTCTATTTCCGAAAAATGGTTATGTGATGGCCTTTTTTGTCAGCTGAAACGTCTTGATATGTAATGAATAGTTGTCAGCTAATCCATTTACTCTGCTTATCTTATTACAATTGTGCAACATGATAGTTGGAAGAGAATTATGCACCCTTTGAAGGTCATACGTCAACGCTCTTGTAATACAGCTAGTTGACAAGCTGTTTGACAGTTCTCTTACGTAACAACTTGCTCATCATTATCAATATCGTCATGAAATCAAACGATACAACCATTTAAGGTATCATTCTCATTTGAATAACATTCATGAACATGGAAGAACTGAATGAATCCAACTGGGATATAGATCAGATGAGAGTTGTGAAGAATCAATAAGAAGAGTATGATCCTCTTAGTCAATGGTTATTGATATGGATGTCCCATGGAGATGAGCCCCAGATTTACATGAAAATCAACTTTACACCTATGGATTTAAGACATCCAAATGACAATACACTCAATGGGTGAATGATATGTTCTCACCTATTGAGTAAGTTCAAATCTAATTCGCATTACCTCCTTCCCTCCCTCCCTCCCTCCCTTCATCCCTTCCTCTCTATCTAATACTATCTTTCATATTTCCTTTTATGTAAGTTAGTAGAATTGAAATTTTCTCTTCGGAAGTCATTAATAGCTATAAAGATGCAAATGACTGTCATTGAATAGAGGACGTAAAACAATAAAACGTTCATGGATGATTGCTGGTAGAGGCGAATCATATTAAGCTCTTCCTTCTCTCTTGCACACTTTATACCTTTTACTTCTTCTTTTCTACATTATTCTCTTTTATTCTCTTCTTTTTTTCTGAAGCGCAACAATGCCTATCCTAGGCGACGCAATATGAGACTTAGACAACCTGCGGCTAATTGCTTTGATCTTTATATACAGCTAAAGAACACAAAGGAACGGCTTCATTAACTGAAGACCTCGTTAACCGATCAAGAAGAAACTCAAACTATAACATATTTGAAGACTATTGCTATACCTCTCTCACACACACACAATCATCATAGCAACTCAACAAATGGAAATAGACAAATGCTATCCTTATCTGGACATTCCATCTCAATGTAACAACCTATCCCCTTACATAACTTAGCACCCATGACCTTAATCTTATATGTAATATATGCTTATTGTCTTTTATATAATTAAATTAAATATAAATCATTTACCTCTCTATAATGTACTTTAACGCCAGACATTGAGACAGATAGACTAGCATCAACGATGTTACATGGACTGAACTTCTCCAAACGGTATGATAGATGTTCCATGGATGTATTGGAGATTGGAAATGATCCCATGTACTAAACAATATTAATATAATTAGCATAATTTATATATATTTCAAATCTTAAGACATCATTTGTATCTTAGCAAAGAAGGCCATTAAAGACATTTTTGACCATAAAAAGCTGTCCAACACCTTCAACATACAAAAGGCGGCAGAATTTATGTTCGACCGAATGATGGAACTTGAAGGATCTATAGATGGCATTAGACCACCCCAAGTTAGACCTCCCAGCCTGTTTCCTTTTTTTTTGTAATCAAAAGGAAGATCGTATAGTTAAACATGAATGCAATAACAGCTTTGTATAGTTAACGATAAGTATTTATAAAGGATTGCATATCCATAGAAAGTGATTTGAGGAAGGTAAAGGAGGTTACTAGTAGAAGTTGCCGAGATTGAGATGAGATGAGACAAATATTTATTTGTCAAAGAGCTAATTGGCACTACACTTATATCATATAGTTAGAGAAAGCATTTACATGTAATATAAGCAACTAATTGAGAAACACCGACAAATACATTCAAAAGTACCAACTTCTACAAACATTTCAGTTATGGTCAAGTGGATGACAAGTTGCTTTACAACCTATTTTTTGTCAAACGAAACTTATAGAGAGAGATAGAGAGATAGATAGAGAGGGAAAGAGAAGGTGAGAGAAGTCAGAAAGATGAAAAAGAGATTCTTGATCAAACTATAAGAAAGAATAATATTTCCTTATAATTAGCCATGACATAATTAATATGAAACAGATGGCACATAGAGCTTGACTGCCGGATATTATACCGGAACATAAAGCTTATCAGATGTAGACGCATCTCTTTGTATGGAGTGAAGTAGGAGATATGAAAACATCTTTACAACTCTATGTTCTTCTTCATCTTTCCTCTCTTTTTATATTTTTATTATAACCAAATATGATAATCAAGGTCATATTTTATGAACAAATGGAGCTTTTACCTACAGCTGGTGTCATTTCGGTCACGCTAATCGTTCAATCGTCATCTTCATCATGTTCAATATGAATGAATGGATGAAGCTGAGAAAAGAGGACAAGTTCATAATGCTATATTTGGTTATGAAGGCTTAGTACTTTCAAAAAACCACATACACATAGGCAGATAGCTATGAACTGTATCGAATTTCTTTGATCAGCTGTTTGTCTACAGTTGCCTTCTCATACTGACTAACCAATACTGTAGCATACATAAAAGGATATATAATGATGAATTGGTCTTAAGCAAGCAATGCAAAGCTAAAAAGAAATCCAAAAAAGGCAAGCCATCATCATCATGATCATTACATTAAATGACAATCGTCATTTATGATTCAAAATAATGAAGAGAAGCTAACAAAGGAGAAATGAAAGAGACATTTCAAAAATTGGTCATCTCAAGGCATTTCTAATGGAATAGCTAATGAGGATGCATCATTTGAGAATAATTCAATTGAAAAATAGAAAAAAATAAAATAAAAATGAAACTGTAACATACCTTGACATTCCATTTGATCAAATATTCTTTGTGATATGGTCCCATGATTTCGCTTTGATTGTCCGTGGTAGCTACAGCTACGGGATTGAGATGACGAAAGATGGATGTAGGTATATTGGTGTTAGACGTTAAGACGTCTGATGATGAGGATGATTCGTATAAAGACGAATATGGCTGTACGTTAGCAAATGTTTCTCCAATACCTCCGCCAATTAAATTCGGTTGAGGACTGGAGCTAGATGTGCTTGTGCCTGTACTATACGTACTGATCCTTGTATTCGCTGTTGTTCCTCCTAGACTAGCCACGCCCCCTTCAGCTCCGCAATGACAACACCTCCGATGGGCGGAGTCAGCTGAGGTTGATGTTGAAGATGAAGAAGAGGCGGATGACATATGTGCAGAGCTGGTAGAACCAGTAAGATGATGTGGTAAAATATTAGCTGGTTGACTGTCATCAGACCATTGTGAGCAATTTGTAAGATCGGCAGATATCTGAAATATTGGAATTGAAAAAGTGAGTAAGAGGAGTTGAAGGGAAGAGACACTTCTCATCCTCATCTTTAATGAAAAGAAAGTGTTAAGAGAGAGAGAGAGAGAAGGAGAGAGGGATGTTCAATCTATCTCAACACTTTTTCACAACTTTCTTCTTCATTTTGAACAACATAGAATGGAATTTCTTATAAATCATCATGAAGACTACAAAAGCAGGGTCGTGCCTCATCTGTCAATTTGATTCATGACCCTAGCCTACTATTCGTTTTAAGATGATTTTCCTTTTTTTTCATTAAAAAGTTGCGAACAAGCGATTGAATGGCAATGATGTTAAACGATGATAAACATACTTTCTTGTCGTCTTGAATGGATTTGTCGTTCTTGTGTTTCGGTCGTCCGAGTAGCGTTGAGACAAGCTTCGAATACATCTGAAACGATAGAATCATCAGTCAGGAATACCATAGGAATGTGATATTTCATTGAGAGAGAGGAAATGGCAACATTTGGACTGTCACGAAGACGATAGGAACAGATGAAAACCAAAAAACTCTTTCAAATTCTATTTCAAATGATTAGGCTAATTAAAAACATTTCATTTCTTTCGTTTCTTTTTTTTGTCAAACATATGGATGAGGGCGAGGACGGATGGACGGACGGACGCAAACGAGCAAAAAGCAATGACGGAATGTATGGAAGAAAGGAGAGCTTACAAGTCAGATGATGTGTATAACTAACTATACCATATAGTAAACATCTCATTAATGCTTAATGTTTATGCTTTACAGCAAATAGATGTTGTACATGCTTGAAAAGGTTATGTGGAAGAATGAAATAGCATGCTTAGATGGCTGGAATGAATATGTTGAATGAGAAAGAGCTAAATGACCTTAGGGAGTTTGATAATGATTGAAAAGTGTAATTATACATCAATCTGTATAAGGCACATACAGATATGCTAGAGGAAGATCATAGAATCAGATAAAAAAGCATTCTGAAGGCTCATGGCTTAATCTCATGCTCGCTTAGAATCTAATGTGCTAATTCCGGAAAAATCGAATAAGGCATTTGACCATCAGCAACATCTGATAGAAGCAAGCTGAGGTCAAGGCATGGTGATTATGGTCAGATTGCCTTCAGCAATTTCATTGACCAAAATATATTTATGGAGAATACATGTGAGATGTAATTGAGAGATAGAATACAAGAGAGACAAAAGCCAGATTGTGCCTGTGTGGCAACACATCACATCTACATCAGCTTATTTCCAGCTTAATTACGATTTGTGTTGATTAAGCAGCCACAGCCATAGCAGACACAGCAGCGGTGTCAGCAGTGTCAGCAATGATTTACCAAATAAGGAGCTGGCACATAGTAATAGCATACAGATATACCTTCCTAGACACCTTCATCCATCTTATAATTCATTCATAATATACTTAATCTTTCAGCTTATACTATAAAGCGGCTCGTACTTTTGATTATCTAGACAATAGCGTTAACTATACAACAACTCATAAATTATAAAACGATTTGTCATTCTCTAATGACATATAACCTGCCAAAAAGTGTCTCATTTCATCTCTTTTAACTATATGTATCTTAACTATATGCATAGTTATTGTATGTTTACATATACAAAAGAATCAAAAAAGAAACATTATAAGTGGATGACGTGATTTCTATCACTTAAATGGTTACTAAAGAAAGTTGCCGAATAGTTATGCTAATTCAAGCATGGTTATTTGTTGACGCAAAGGATCAGAAAAGTCATCGATAGCCATGTAGGGACATAATGTTTCATTACGCAACTATCTCTCTCTTCCTCTCTCTATATTCATTCCCTTCACCATTCCCTCCTTATTTCCATCCAAAACCCTTCCAGTCTATTGAAATAGCGGCTTTCTTATAACATATAGTTTCATATAAGTTAGTTTTATATTAACTATATGTATATAGTTATGACAACATCTCCAACACTGTTTATACCAACAAAGGATGAAAGTATCAAAGAAAACTTCTTTTTCCTCATCCACACTCACTCTCTCCATCTCTCTCAACGCCCAATTGCCTTTTCAACTAAAAAAGGGAGAAAAACCTTTCTCTAAGTAGCCTCTCCGTTTTCAAAAAAGTAAATGAAAAACGTGTGAGAGATTCTTACATCTAACACCTTCTTCACAACACCATATATAGACTATATACTATATTGATTATTCAAACATAGTTAATTATAATATTAGCACATAGGGTGAACTATATGACGATTGAAGAAGTTCTAAAGGAGTCATTATCAATTAGCAGAATACCACAGTCAATCTAATTGATAGCAATACTCTCTCTCTCCCTCTCCCTCTCTCCCCCTCTCTATCTCTCTTAAATTGTTCATTTTCTTATAAAGTTTCTTTCGAACACAACAAAAAACTTTTTTTTTTCTTACAAACCCCACAAGTCTGTCATCTAACCCAACCCATCTTCTCTGCTTTTCGCTTGCCCCCTAAATCATTACCAGACGGCGGTTAGAAGAAGGCCAAGACACAAAGAGAAGAGAAGTCAGTGAGTGAACGGCAAAAATGGAACTTTCAAAGAAAAAGCTATATTCCATAAATATTTGTTAAACAGCAAACAAAGTCCAAAAATGGGAATAAGAAAACAAATTATTTTTTGGAGAAGCACATCAGCAACAGCAATAGCAACAGCAGCAACAGACGGAGAAGGATGAGAAGAAGGAGGAGAGAAAATGAAGTAGAAGCAGCATGATATGTGGTGCCAGTTGAAAGAGGCAGACATACAAGTTACAAGTATTCTATCAACGAATGCTCTCAACGACAACAAGAACAACAAAAACCATAATTGATAGCATAAACAGTATAGTTAAAGAAATAATCTCCCTCATTTCCCCTCTCTATTTCTCTCTCTCCCTCTCTCTATACATATGAATCTAGCAGCTGCCTAGAGTGAGTGTTGTCAAAGGAAAATGGCTGAACACGAAAAGTGATGTGAAACAGATATTCCTACTGACAATTCGTCTTGTTTGAACAAATAAAAAAGTAAAAATAAAGAAATTACGTTTTTTGTGATTTGAACAGCAAGTAGAAGGATTCGGAAATTAAGAAAATGCAATGGAAATGACCAAAAATGAATGGAATGAAGAGCGCCACAGAGAGAGAGAGAGAGATGAAGATGAAGAAGAAGAAGAAGAAGAAGAGAAAGACGATACAAGTCGAAGCAGATGATTTCTGTTTCTCATGCATTATAAGAGTTTTGGAAATGAAGCAAATCAATCATATTGAACTTGTAGTGCATAGAAGAAGATAATGAATATGTGAGTTGATGATTACATTGAGGTGAGAAGGAGAAATTCATTTGAAATTTAGTCAAGAAATCTGAAACTGAGCAAACTTGTCTCAGCTAGAATTCCGTCCATCCATCATCTGGATTGATCAGTCTTGAAAGAGAAACGAAACTTTGTCCGAATAAGGATTTCAAGACAAAGAATAATAATTTTGAAGAGAAAAAAGAAGGAAGAAGAAGATGAAGATGAAGAATGAAGAGAAATGAATGAAAACAAATACTTAATCAAAGTTGCAAACCACACATAGATAGACATAGACTCTCATGCATTCTATCATGTAAAGCTTATATGCTTAGATGGCAATTTGATTTTCAATATCATATATTCTTCTGAATATAAAATAACCATAGAAGCTAGTCTGTTGTATAAAGCTTTATGTGGATAGAGATGTGTGTGTGTGTATGTGTGAGTGTGTGTTAGAGAGAGTAAAGGAAGTCTATAGAAGCTTAAAGGTGAATTGATGTTAGAGACAACTTCTTTCAATCTCTTCTCCTTCAACCTCTTCTCTTCTCCCTCCCTCCCTCCCTCCCTTTCTCTTACAATATTAGTCAAAAGCGAAAGAAGTTGTCAGGTGTGAAGAAATGAATGAAAAACCAATCGACTGACCACAACGAGAGATTTAAACGAAATAAAAAAAGAGAAAATATTGGTGATAAAAGAGAAAATGACTAGGAGAATTAAGTGATGAAAGACAAAAGAGAATGAGGGAAAGCAAGGAAACGACAGATCGAGAAAGCTGAAATGAGATCCAGCAGACTAGGACGATCCTGAATAATCACGTTAAAGATGATGAAAAAGAATATATGAGATTGAGAGAGAGAGAAAGAGAAGAGAGGAGTATAGAGAGAGAGAGAGTGATAACTGAAAGATGGAAAAAAGAAAGTTAAAAGAGATTTTAAATTGCTTCATAAAGTACGCGAGAGAATGGAGGGAGAGTCATTGAGATACGTGCCAACGAGATGGAGATTGAGATGACTGGGCTTATTCATAAGCAGATGTTACTCCTACATTCGGACAGATAATAAGTGAAATATGATATATAAAATGATAGTTTAATAAGCTTCTTCTGCTTCTTCTTCTAACCATCATCATCATCATATTAACATTCTATTATAACTTATATGATATAGTTAAAGCTTTATCTATCTAATATGGATAATGAGTGAATGATAGATATAGAGGTAGTGGGTGTCATGACGTAGATAGAGGAGGAGAGAAGAGGAGCTGGCAATGATTGATCAATGAAATAGCTTTAAAAGGAATAATGTCAACAAACTGATTAAATAATCAATCAATTTCAAAAGAACAATTAGTAATTCTAATGACAGATTTAATTGCTTAATTGGTTGTTTTGTCAATTCGATTACATGTAAAGGCTATGTGATATACACGATTGATAGAGCATCATCTATACTATTGTATAGATAAGAGAATTAGAGAAAAATAGAATAAAATCTCAATGGAGCACATTATGGAAAAAAAAGGTGAAATAGAAGTCATCATGTTTGAACATTTCCATTTATAGTTAACATGATGATCAATAAGCTTAGTTATCTATATGTACGTATAGTAATGATAATATGATTAGTTGACCTCATAAAAGACTAATTATATAAAGGTCACATAAGCTATTGTTTACATCAATTAATCATCTATTACTACATATGGACAAAATGCCTTCAGGGGGGATTACTTCATCACGATCTATAGAAGATAGAGAGAGAGAGTGAGAGAGAGAGCGATGAATACATATAGAGAGAGGGAGAAAGAGAGAGAGAGAGACATATACTATCTTATATGAAAAATCAAAAAAGGAACAGTAAGGTAAAAAGAAAATCTTCTCATGACTATGTGATCATCCCATTCATTCTTCTTTCGAGATAATCATACATCTCATACTCTCTCTCTCTATACTATCTCTCTTCATTTATCATTATCTCTCTTCATCTTTACCTGTTCACACATCTTACCAGCCATCTATGTCTCACATAACCAAACTACTTTATTATATTATCTTAACCATTCGTTTCTAATCAATCAATCAACACACATACGTATTCCTCTTTAACTATATCTATGATGGTATACCCAATAAAGCTTATTATACATATAGAGAGGGGAAGAGAGACAGAGAGAGAAAGAGAGAATTATACATGATAGACAGATGTTTATTATATAAACAATATAATAAACTTTATTAACTATATACATATAGTTAAGAAGTTATGATCTGCTTAGATTGAAAAAAGGAAAAGATAAATGATAAGAAGAGAATGACATATTCGAAATGGAAGGTGTTGATGGACAGATGTCTTTTCAATCCTTCTATGTTAAAGGATTGTTTAGGAGAAAGGAAGGAACAATTTGAGAAGTTGTGCATACAATCTCATCCAATACTAAGATAGATGGAGAAAGAGAGAAATGAAGTACAAAAAGTGTTTTAAAGACCCTTCTCTCTTTCTCTCTACATCTTCCTCTCTCTCTCTATCTCTCTTGGTTTCTTCCAGAGATTTGAATCAACAGTCAGCAGTTTGTATGATTCACATCCAATTTTTTGAGAGAAAAAACTGAGAGACACTTTCATTCAACACCACCACAACTATTAAAGCTTCATAGTAGATATGAACTATATGATATAGTTATATACAATACAATAGAAAGTTCATAGCATTCCATTAACTATATGAGAATGAGTTGTAAGCTTATGAAGTGGATAAGAACAATTTTTTTTAAAAAAATGTCAAGTATTGTATTGCGAGAGAATAGATAAACAAATCTATTCGTTCACAAAAACCATTCACAGCTTTATCAAATGAATGAAGAAGTTCGCTTTCTCGTAGTCCACCTTCTCTTCCCTCTCTATTTCTCTCTCAAATACTTTCTCTCTCTCTCTCTATTATTATCATCATCATCATCATCGATGAGCTTCCCAACAAAAGAATGAATAGCTATAAGGTGAAAAGATAGAAAGATAACCGGAACTTATCGACAACCACCTTATCCACTCCTCTTCGCCCCACACCCCACATTACCCAACAACCACCTCTCTCGTTTGAGACCCTGCTCTCCATTCTCGCTGATTCCTTGCATTGTAAATCTCGATTGAACATTTTCCTTTTTCATCTCTTTCACCTTCTCTTGCATGCTGGTCTTACCCTCTCTCTCTCTCTCAGACTCATCCCATATAACCACTACCACCGCAGGCAACTCTCTTTTATATCCCATTTCTCTTTCTTTTCATTTCAATCAAAAGCATTTTATTACACTTTATTATATTGAAATGATGAAGTCCATTTATGGATGAGATAACGGTTGTTTGAATAAAGAGAAATAATCATCTGGATCTTTCTCATTCTTCAAATTATTCACGAAAAGTCATTAAGTCCAAGTAGAAAAGAAGTTACAAAGAGTAGAAAGAGGAGTAATCTCTCATTAGCAGAAAGCATACTCATAGTCCAAATCATAATGGGATTAACCATGTTAGCATAGTAAATGACTTCTTCCAAAATATAAAAATGAAATACCTGAGCAATGGATTGTATTCAACCAGTCATCCTTCTTGAGTGAAATGAAAATGAAACGGCTTGTAACTCGTTCCACGTGGCTTGAACCTCATTAGCATATCTGAAATACCACTAAGAAAGAGATAGAAATATGCAAATTAGAAGAAAGTGTGAGAAAACACGGAACAACAGGGAACAACATGAAACGAATACAGTTGCACTCAGTTTGCGTCAGTGAGTTATTCACTTAGTATGTACTCGTAAAGGTAGCAACAATTCTCGTGTCGATATCATGAGGTGTGAACTTCTTCTAACTCGGAAATAACAGAGAGGAACCAATAAGCACTAAACCAGTACACCTAGCTCACCCAGTATTTCACATAAAAATCAAATCAAATCGAAATATGGTAACTGAAGACAAACTGATCAATATGAACCCCATGATAGAGGGAGTTCTGGACCAAAGACTGTACAACTGAAGCAATTCTGTCTGAGTTAATCAATTCGAGTTTGGGGTATAATTTATCTAAGGAAGTTTGGGTTAGACATTTTTGGTTCTTCGAGCCCTTCCTGATCACATACTGATACTCTACCCTCAACGTTATACTGATTTCTCATTGACCGAACTGTATTCATGTAGACTGATGGGATGTACTGAGCCTGTTGAGACACGAGAAGCTCGATTGGTAGAATCTAATACATACATATCCTTTTTTGAGACATTTATTGTTATGTGATACACAAATATTTAAGTGCCCTGAGCGGCCAAATCAAACAGTAGCATGAAGGGAAGTTCGAGAAGATACATTGATAATGGATTAACTAGAAGAGAGAGAGAGAGGTGAAAGAGTCAAGGAAAGTATGACCAGAGATGGAACAGCTCAATGTTCTCTCATCAGAACAATGTCTGCCGTTGTGATGCTGTGTGAAAGATTTGAATGGAAGTAATAGAATGACAAATATTTCTTTGAGTCGAGCAACAAGAATGAAATTAAGAGAGAGAGAGACTCCTTTGAAGGGAGAGGAATGGCAACCAATGGCATGTAGGAGGAGAAGGTATGATGGGTGAAAGGTTTTCATGGAACATTTCGCATTCTGATTCATTCATATGTTATTCTTTCGAATGCTTTTAATAAAGATGAATGGATTGTTCGCTTCTTATAGAAAACCATTTGTGTGAAGTCAAATCTTCATTTGAATGAAGAAGAAGAAGACTGTCTGAAAGTATTTCATTTGATGAGTTACCTTGATTTCCGTTTTGATATCAAGCCATCCTGCTTCATCTTCATGTTTATCATTTCATTTGGTGTATGTGTGTGTGTATGTATGTCTCTGTGTGTGTGTGTTTGCTTACAAAAAACATAATCCGGGGAAGAACAGGATGAAGCACTCGAAGATGTCCAGCATATTTGCCCATCTCGCATTCTGGTCAGAAAGTTTGGCCCTGAGCTCATATTCCTATTCTATCATTTCGTTCTTTCATCATTTTCCTTAAATGGAAGTCATCTCATTCACTTATTGTTTTTCTTCTCCATTTCATAGAGCTTTGATTTCTTGGCATACCGCAGTTGTTGATTAGCATAACGATCTCGTGAGGCTAATTAGCATAAGTTGACGTGAAACTGTGAGATGTTTTGTTTCTCCAACTGAGACTTCCTCTTTCAGTTCACGATATGACAGACAATGGACGAGGAACATGGGGAAGTGAACTTCAATTCCTATTAACATCTGTTGGATATGCTGTTGGACTAGGAAACTTATGGAGGTTCCCCAGTATAGCATATGAGAATGGAGGAGGTTCGTCTTCACCTCATGCCCCCCACCTCATCATAAGCCTTCAGGAGCTTTCTTGATTCCATATCTATGCTGTTCGATAGTCATTGGACTACCACTTCTCTATATGGAGTTTTTTGTTGGACAATTCACTCAGAATGGTCCATCTGTAGCCTTCAGAAACTATTTTCCAGCTTTACAAGGTATCTGAATGTAATTGAAACAAATGAAAAACGAAATGTGATTGAACAGGAATTGGATGGACGAGCACACTATGCTCATTCATGATTGGCATTTATTATAATGTTATAATAGTATATTGTGTATTATATCTTATAGATATCTTATTTAATGATGTAAGCAATTGGACATCTTGTGGAAATGCTTGGAACACAAATGGTTTTTTCCTTTCTTTTTCCTTTCACCTCTAACAAGAAGCATGATGAGTCTCTCTTATTCAGAATGTATGCTTCTGAATGACACATCTGCGAATGGCACACTAGCTGCTGATGAATTCTATTTGTAAACATACAATATCTCTATATTTTATATAAATAATTATATTTCAGACATAAAGTATTGAAAATATCTGATTCCATCAATGATCTCGGCACATTGAATGTCCCTGTGCTAGTTGTCTTAGTAGTCATCTGGATCTTCACAGCTCTCTGTCTAGTTAAAGGAGTTAAGTATATTGGAAAGATGGCTTACGTCACAGCTACCATGCCTTATCTAATCATAGGTTTGATACATCTTCAGCTCTTTCTTGTTAGCTTAACCTTTTCAAGGATTTTTCTTCATTATGGTACTTCAATTGGACGGAGCTTCAAGTGGATTGAAATATTTCCTTTTCCAACCGAAATTCGAAAAATTGTTGGAATTTAATGTAGTTTCCATTAACATTCTTAAAATTCTATTTTTCTTTTTTCTTCTTAAACACGTCTTCCGACAATTCAGACTTGGATTGCTGCTGCCAACCAACTATGCTTCTCCTTAAGCATAGGCTTTGGCGGACTACTGTCATTATCGTCCTTCAATGCACGAAAACATAACTGCTTCAAGGTTACCACATGGGGTTTCTAATGACTACAACATAGTTCTCACTTAAGGATGCTCTCGTTATTGTATTCTGTGATGGATTCATGAGTATCTTCGGAGGATGTGTAATCTTTGCTATTCTTGGATTTCTATCGCATGAAGTCGGACGACCAATAGATCATCTCATTCAATCACGTAATCTTGTTCCTTTATTCCTAATTGTTCTAAATGATACATTGATAGAAGGAGGAATTGCTTTCGTTGCTTATCCAGAAGCCTTTGCTCGAATGGGATACTCTTCTGCATTGAACTTCCTACTGTTTTTCATGTTCTTCTTGTTAGGCATCAGCAGTCAGTTCGGTAATCATTGAAAATGAAATCGAAAGTGCTCAAGTTTATTAAGGAACTATGCAACCTATGCTTACATCCATGATAGATCAGTTCCCAGTTTTAAGGAAGCAGACAGAAGCTGTGGCGATCAGTGCTTGTTTCATCTCTTTCATCGTGGGCTTATCCATGTGTTGGGGAGTAAGATAACCTTCTATCTCTAACCTAATCTTCAATTAAGAATGGAAATTACTGGCTGAACTTATACAACAACTGGATGGGAGCCAACACTGTCTTCATTGCCTGTTTCTTAGAAATAATGATTATCATCCATATATACGGTATACTTGATCATCCCTTCTTTCCTCGTTTCACTCTCAATCTCCCTCAGGTATTCATAACTTCCGGTCAGATATCGAAGAGTGTTTGGGAGGTTCAGAAGGGCGATTCCAAAAAATATTTGGGAAATCAGGAGTCTACTTCACTCTGTGCTGGACCATTCTTGCCCCAGTCCTCATCTTTGTAAATGAGATTATTGTTTCACTCAGTAACAGATCTATATCCTTCAGGTTCTTATAGTCACGACGTTTATCAACCAAGCTCAAGCTCCAGTTGACGGACCTTATTGGACAAGAGTAAGCCCACTAATAGAAGACTGTAACAGAGTCCATTATAGGTTGTTGGTTATATACTGGAGTATTGTCCTCTGATATTCATTCCCATATTTGCTTTCATCAATATAAGAGATGCTGCCAAATCTGAGCAAGTAAGTTGCATGTCTCAAGTGAATCATGAACAACCTGTGCTTAGGGATGGAAGTCAGCTTTTCGAATTCAGCCTTCATTATTTTCTTTTAAAAAGGTTAATAAGACATTAGATAAGGTAATGTGAAAAAGGATTTTAAAAATAGCCAGAACGGAGTTTTCAGATTTATCCCGAAGATCATCCGACTATCATAGCTCAGGTATCAGCTCCGTGATTGAACAGAGCTTAACTATTCCAATATAATTTATATGAAAACAGGAGTCTGCTCAGCAGAATGTTATCGTTGATCAGTTCACATGTCAAAAGCTTGAATGTGTGTTGTATACGTTGTTATATAAGAATTTATAAAGTAAAATATGTTTCCACTGGTCATCTCTTTGAGAACAGAGTGCTCGTTTGAATAATTACAAAAGTTTTTCATAGACTGTCAATGAAACGAAAACAAAAAGTAAAATCAGTTGAAGACGTTTGAATGAGCCATCGGTAGTTCCCCGAACGTTCTATGATTTTGCTTTATCTGGAGTCTCGTTTTTCCAGCGTATGGTTCTTAACAAGGATTCAAAAGGATTCATTCTCTCTTACATCTTTCTACCTATTAGCATGACAAGTGGATATCAGAAGAACGAATTGTTCTCAATGTGATCAGTGGTGGTTGGAATAGTCATGAGTTCTTCTCCTAGAGGAGAGCTGCTTCAAATTTTCTTCGAACTCTTCGACTCCCAAGAAATCAATTCGCTCATGTAAGGTATTGTATTGACAACCATCTTCTATCTTTCGCAATAGAGATGAACAGAAGTTGATTTCAACACACAGTGTAACATAGAACTCCAGACAAACAAGAGAGTCGCTATATCAACAGTTAATGGGAAAAAAAGAAAATCATGCAACACAGTGTCAAAAACTTTAAAAGTTTTCTTTATGGCTCAGACATCCAAGGAAGTAATAACCCTCACATCTTATGATCAGTTGAACTGCGAATCGGGAAACATCATCATAGCCGATCTGAAGAGACAAGCAACTGCGAAATGAAAACATTTGCGGCACTACATATAGGCTGTCTATAACGTGTTCCGTATTGCATATGGGTCGAGCATGATACAGCCTGCTGTAAAGACAGTTGTTGAGGCGATGTCTAGACTCATTACGAACAGCATTCTTTGAGAAAGACAAAAAAAAAGATAGAAAACCTGATAAAAATTAGTTTGATGAAGGAGGATTGAGTAACTGCATGGTAACATGTAATGAGACAGTCGGATAGGTAGTAGTAGGAGGAAGGCTGTCAATACCATGAAGAAGAATGCTTTACAAAGGACAATAATATGAATAAAGCTTTCAAAAACCTTATTTGTTTTTGAAATATGTGAGTTTTTCTTTTTTCGTTCATTGTTGACCAGGTCATCAAATCGTAAGTGGAACTCTTCCACGCCGTCAGATAATCTGTATACCTTATTAAGCACAAAAGTTTAGAAAACATAAAAAATGGCTAAAAATAGAAATTTAAGTCTGTTCGAATGAACTTGAACAGTTCTTACGAAATTATAAAAAAACCGTTCAGCTCATCAAAGACACAACCGAGTCTTACACACTGCATATACGAAAATGAAAATAGCGTCACACGTGAGCATAATGGTGTTGTACGTCAAATGACAAATGACACGATGGCGTTCTCAGAATGATTTTTAAAGAAGCGACCAGATTGGTCTGCAGAACGCTATTCCGGAGAGGTGAATCATAGTCTAACCGGAAAGAAACAAAAAAAAAGTTTTTTTGTGTTCCAAAGACAGGATGGAGAGTGTGTTGCGACATTCATAGTGCATGACTGATGTTTTAAAATATCTTTTTTGGTTTGATTCTTTGTATGGGTGGCACAACACAAGATGTTTGATCATAACCATGACCTTCCAAATATTATTAAACTCTTTCCGGAGACCATCTAACCGGACTTTCTCAATATAATGACCAATATTGAATCAAAATCTCAATGAAGAACCTGTATATGATTTTGACGATAATCGGATGGGGTGGACGGCCGGGGGGGTGCAGTGCAGGAATCGTACGCTAAGGGAGAAGGTCAATCGAAGCAGAGCAAACTATTTCTTTTCATATTTGAAAACATTTTTTCTATTATTTGTTTTGAAATAAATATATATTCTGAGGTTTTATCTTCTTTGCTATTCTGGGACAGAGAGAGGTTTTGCAGTTGTGAAATTGAAACACATGGTTGGCTGGGATGGAATGAGCATATCGAGCATGAGAGAGAGGGAGAGAGAGAAGCTAAGATGGATACATGATGTTGTAGTTAATGATGATGAAATCACCTTCGATACCATATTAGCTCATTCAATATTTGAAGAAGAAATGGCAATGTCCGAACAATTTTAAAGATAGCAGCCCCATTTAGAAGATGAAGGAGATGAAGGAGACGAAGAAAAAAACGACCGAAATCATAGAAAAACTGTTTTCTCATATATGGATTGCTAGAGAGCAAAATGTCCGAACAAATTTTTTTTTCTCTTTTCATAGTTTGTTAAACAATCATCCTCGGGAACAAAAGGTCAAGCTACAACTAACTGATGCAGAGAATAGCTTCAAGAATTTTCTTAAAAAGGAAAACTTCCGTGACTTCTTCTTGTTCTCTCATTTCCTTTTGATTTCTACACAACTCAATGATGCTCCTTATTTTCATCGTCTCTCCCTAGTCGTCAACCATACATGTACATCATTCAAAACACAATACATGTTCATCTGACTACAGCTTGTGTTGAGCAAAGAGAAAACGAAAATGCTCCGAGAATCACATTCAGTACTGAGACGATGCAAGAAACACTTCTACTCCAATGATATGATTGGGAAAATGAAAAAAAAAATTTTTATCAGAAAACCGGACCAATTTCAGATTTCTCATCGTCACTCTTAAGATCAAAGAAAGAAAAACAAAGATCACTTGATAACGTTCGAATTCGGGATTGATCGTAGCCGCCTGTTTACCATATCATACGTTTATATTAAACGATTCATCCGGTCTGCTGAGTGAGCTTCATCTGATTTTTTTGGGCGATTCTCTGCGAGTGCGGGCGTGGCATCCGGATTTTGTTTGTTATTCCTACTCCTCTAGGCATTACCGGCGTCCATCATACAAATTGAAGATTTCTTAGTTTCGCTAATATCAAGAAAAATGTTGAGATGGATTAAGCCGCAAATTCTTTTCCTTCATTTTTCTCAAACTGAAGATTATATTCTGAGCAATCAGAAGCCGTATGGGCTATCTGTTTTCTTCTTGACTCTCATGCGAATCTTTTAATTCGCCTGCTTCCCGTAGCTTCATCCACTCCGCTACCTTCAGTTTTCTTCAACTCTTCCGTCTTTTTGATAAATGACGAATGAACAGAGTTAAGAGAAAAATATGAGAGGCGAGTTGACGATCAGGAGGGGTCATCCGGTCCGACTGGACGCAACGCCGACCGGAATTTTCGTCCTGACGGATGCGGTTCCGGAGAGAGTAGAGACAAAGAAACCTAATTGAGATAAGAGCCAATTGCTCCGATGGAAAGAAAAAAATGTGTGAGGGCATAAAATGTGAAGAAGCAACTGGCTAAAAATGGAAATAGTGCTTTTCGGAGAAATAACACGAGGAGCGCATTGGCTCTTTTTTCATTCGAACGAAGAAAGTTCAGATCTTTTTTGAACATTTTGCAGAATAAGCTTCGAGAACAGAAGTGGATGCTTGAAAGACATAGATTGACGTTGTTGCTTTCTCTTCATTAAGAAAATTTTAGAAATAATTCACGTCTGACAAAGATAAACTGTCAAAGAGCTGTCGTGAAGCTTCACGTCCAGTTAGTCTCGGAAGTCTGCTTCATCTCGACGTTAAAGAATAGAACTGTCTTGACTTTGAAGCTCAACTCTGATTAGGGGAAAATGCTTAAACGTTCATAACTAGAGGATTGCACAACATGACGTTTCTAGACAGACATCAACTACTAGAAATTCTCGTGTAAGATGATTCACTCTGGAGCTGTTTTTTCATGTCATTTCTGAAAATCGTCTGATACAGGTCTGGGGACGTCATCGTCTATGCCCTTTGAAGCTTGAATCTTCATGCGTCTCAGGAAAATTTCAAGTTTTTTTTGCTCCAATTTCAAAGCGTTTTTGTGTAAGTGACGTGGCGCCGACTGCTGTGTCTTCTAATGACTTGAGATCATGCATACGGAAGACGTCATCTACGGCACCTCAAGACGATATTTCAATGGAATTTTCTGTTTTTTCTATCAACTCTCTTTCAAGAGCTCAATCCCTTCAACTGCGAGTGCAAACTTTGCTCCGCCTTCAGTTCGTTCTCAACGCCTGAGGGTATAGAAAATGGGCGTGGCGTGAGCTGACTCATGTCTAGACCGGATTCGACCGGGACCGAATAAAAGCCGGTGAAGCTGGCTGGTCAGGGAGAAGAGTAACAGCTCATTCAGCTGAGAACTTCAGATCTAATCTTTACTTTATCAACCAATTCATAGTAACTAGAAATGTCCAGAAAGTTACTCGCTGTTGTACTGATCGGCTTCGTTGCCTTCTCAGCTGTTTACGCTGAAGAAGAAATCAAGGAGAAGGTACTTTTTCTATTCTTTACATTTTAATATATATTACCATCCGATTTTTACTTTCTCAACTATTTGAATCGTATGATGCTAGAGAGATGAATCTCCCTACCACAGTTCATCATCTGATGCTTCATCTTGAAACATCTGAACCTTGAGCATCTTCTAAAGTTTCCAGACTCATTTTGAGTTTTTTCATCTTCTGTGCTCATAACAGAGAGGTCACTAAGCATTCCTACAATTGTCCATGTTTACCTAGAAATATTCTCGAAAAACGGCGTTCTTCTTTTTATAACCGGCTTGTGACCCGAGACTGCTCTTTGAATTGTGTCTGACCGTTTGAACGGGAGTATCTTGTTTCTCACACATTCAATGAGCCAAAAGATTAATTCTATTCACAACTAAAACTATTCTTATTTACTTTCTCATGTATTTTCTTACAGAATGAAACGGCTCCTGCTGTGGTCCGTTCCAAGAGACAATGTTGCAACCAAGCTACATCAAGCTGCTGTCCTCAACAACAGAATGTCCAATGTGTCCCAGTTTGCGTCCAACAATGTCAAAGCTCCTGCCAAACCCCAGCTTGTCAGCAAACTTGTGCTCCAAGTTGCCAACAACAATGCGGTGTTGTAGTTGCTGCTGTAAGACATTATACAATACTATCATTCATTCAATCTTTACTATCTTTAGAACCCATGCCAACAATGCCAACAGACCTGTCAGTCTTCTTGCGCTACCCCAATGTGCCAACAATCCTGCCAGTCTCAATGCGCTCCAGCTTGCGGTGCCCCAGCCCCACAGGTCATTGTTCTCCCAGCTCAAGACCCATGCGGATCCTGCCAACAAACCTGCCAACAATCCTGCACATCCAACAACTGCAACTGCCAAGCTGCCTGTGCCCCAGCCTGCCCACAACAACAACAACAGGTAGATCGTAATCCACAGTTCTAATCTTATTCTATTCGTTCAAGGTTATCGTTGTCCAAGCTCAATCCAACCAATGCCAAAGCTCCTGCAACAACCAATGTTACCAATCCTGCAACACCCCAGTCTGTCAGACTTCCTGCCAATCTAGCTGTCAACAGGTAACGCTTGTTTTCCTATACAGTCTTAAACAATACGATTTCTAGGCCTGCGCTCCAGTCCAACAATGTGCCCCAGCCTGTATGCCATCATGCAACCAACAATGCATCCAACAGCAATCTCAACCAATCGTTGTTGTTGTCCAACAAAACGACCAGTGCCAGAACTCCTGCTCCAACCAATGCAACAACGCTTGCTCTACCCCAGTCTGTGTCCAATCTTGCACCAACCAATGCCAAGCTTCCTGCTCTCCATGCTCTTCCAATGGATGCAACAACAACAACAACCAGCAAATCGTCGTTGTCCAACAACAAGATAACTGCCAGAATACCTGTCAGAACACTTGCATGAACAACTGTCAATCTACCCCAACCATCCAGTGCGCTCCACTCTGTCAACAGACCTGCCAGCAGACCTGCCAACAAGCCGCCCAGATTGTTGTAAGTACATCTTAACTTATTCCGATGCTAATTTTAATCTTAACAGGTCCCATGCCAATCTTCCTCAAGCGGATCATGCGGATGCAACACCGGATACACCCAATGCGGAGGATCTTGCTGCCGTCGCCGTTAAGCGTCTTCAGAATTCTGAACGATAGCTTTATCGCCAATAACCTGGCGATATGGTAACTCGTTCCGCTTTTGCGCAATCCATGTCTGTACAAACAAGTGTTTAGTAGTCGTCTACTTTATCTATTGTAATGTATACATTGCTCATAATAAAATATTTTCTTTCTCTGACTCTCTCTACTCTCTCTCTATTCTCTCTCTCTCTCTCTCAATGTATATGCTGAACCTTGCAATCATACCTCATATTGCATTTGAAAGCGAAAGTTTCATAAGAAAATGAGTCTCGTGATGATTGGCCAATGCAAAAACGCTACTTGTGAGAGGATGAAAGTGCTATTTTGGTTTTTCAGTCAAACAATCCTTTTAAGGTAATTAGTGTGCCAGTTTCGATCAATGATCAGCACTGTTTTCTCCTCCAGCACGAGAAAAACAGTTTGTTGGTCTTTCGTGAGGTTGAAAAATGAATTTTTCTTGAAAGCTACAACAAGATGAAGAAGATGAGAAAGGAGAAGCTGCTTGCTTCCTTCTTGATCATTGAGAAACAAAAAAAAAAGCGGACAAAGGTCATTGTCATTGAAAGTTTTTCTTTTTTTGTAGTTGCTCACAAATGAAAACTCCAAAGACGATTGTTCTTCATAAAATTTTGTTTTCTGTACACACTCATCAGCTGTTGATGAAGAATACGATGAGCACACATCGAAAGGAAAGAAGAGCGAAAGAAGCTGAATCGTATCTCCTATTACAAGACTGCATTCCAGCGTATTGTCTTATATGAGCAGAAGAAGCTTCTTCATCTAAAAATATAAAAAATGAAATTGTACAGACTGTACTGCATCATGATGTCCTTCCAAACCCCTCTCATAGCCAATCTGCATCCCATCCTCTTCAGTTGAACCCCTTATAAGGAATCAATCAATAGTTTATCATCAGATGCATAATGTGTTATAATTTATACATTCATATATAGAGTAACATGCTAAATATGAGATATTGTGGAGGTTCAAGGGAATTTGCCCTTTGTGTATTCAATTCGCTTCTTGTTTGTCTACTCATCAGACGACAATGTGATCGGATCAAAAGACAACGAAGAAGAAAAGAAGAAGAAGAAGCTGCTTATCTTATAGTTGAATTCAACAACACTTCAAAAGGTAGAAGATGAACGACGAGAAAAGAAAGGGAGATGATAGGAGAGTGACCAGCTAACACAAGAACACAAAAATAAATTCTCAATTTCTATCAGGTTTAGAGGGGTGACGACGACATCATCATCATCATCATCATCATTAGCCCTTTGAATCTTCTGACTTTCATTTCATTACAACAATACAGACATCTCCATCAATCTGCCTTTTTTCCATTACGATTATCTCATTATTAAACGAACTGTCTATAGCTATTGAAAAACGAACACAAAAAACTTATTAAATGATCATCATGATAGTTTGGGAGAGAGAGAGAGGGAGAGAGAGAGAGAGAGTGAGAGTGAGAAGGTGATATACGTTAGCAGCCCGGAAGGCTGGATGGCAATCTTCAATGTCTTAAGCTATTCCAGCTCCTCGAGTTTTCAACTTTGGATCACTTGTACGCTGCTGGCTTATCCGATGATGGAAAAACCTAACAATTTCCAAATCAGATGTTTCTACTATGCATTGAGTTACCTTCCAACTTTCGCTTTTCCATTTGATCCACGAATTCTATAATGGCTAACACCATACGGTCTCCGATAGCCTAGCGAGCTATGCGTTCTTCCAATGTAGCCTCTTGATTGTCCACGATTGAATGATTTCTGAAAGTATGGAGTTTGCTTTCATCTAAGATGCTTCTGTCATGTTTAAGTTCTTCGTTTCTGATAACAACCGCTTACTAGAAAGCTTAGTTGAACATAAAAGTGAAATCATGAAATGGACCGGTCACTAGTACTATGAGATCAAAATGAAAAAAGGACCTATGTTCCATGAAAAGTGAAAGATATGTTTCGCTTTTCGACGGCTGAGAAAAATCGCTTTGCGGCGATTTCATTAAGTATGAAACGTGGAAGAGAACTGTTTTATTTTAGTTTTTGAAAGTTCAAAGGTTTACATGAACTTGAACGGAAGAATCCGTGTTGTATAAGATGGGCTGAACAGGTTGAGCAATTCTGGCTAACATCAAGCGTTGTGTGGGTCTTGGAGGAACAGCTTGAATGAAAGAACGATGAAGGAATTCACATTCAAAAACTAACGGATCGTTTGAACTACTCGTCTGTCCCTGAAACCCGAAGCTTTGGCTGGATGCCAGTCTACATACACTCGCGTAGGCTGTAAGATGTAAATCGTTTGCATTCATGAAATGACTGTTACTACCCGTGTAGGAATGGTGAAGAGCTGTTTAGCTTGAGGCGGAGGAGAAACAGTCGACGATCTTGCCAAGCTGTTCCCAAAAACTTGATTCGTCGTTAATTCTGAAAAATATTTTGGGAAAATTGAATTTTGCGAAATGAGAAACTTGTCTTACTCTTGCATTTAATACAAAATCTCTGTGTCGTATCAACTTCTGGATTTTCGTCGATCAGACGGCTAGCATGATAATCCTCACATTCAAGTGTTAATGATGAAGATGAATTAGATGTGAACTGGCATTCCCGTCTATCCCAATGGAAATAAGCCACCTACACAATTGAAATACAGAAATGTAAAAGAAGATAGAATAATGATGAAACATACATCACATCGTCTACGAAAGCATTCTGATGCACATTGAGATGGACTATTGGTTGTTAGTTTGGTAGTGAGAAAGACCGCTAAGCCTTCCGACAGATCATTACCATTCAGCACATCAACACGTGTCTTACAATCTAAAATGAATTGAACACCTGTACATGCAAGATAGAAGCTTCAACGATAGACAAACCTTTCAAAGCATCTACTTGGTAATGTAACATTAATATTCCACATAATAATAACCTCGTAATCATCTGTAATGATTGAAATGAATCTGATGACATGAACGAAGATAGATGAAAACTATAATTGACGATGTGTCATTAAAGAAATGACCAAAAAGGAAAGATTTTCACCTAAGATCAGATTATATGAAGACGTTCAAGGGGGCGAACATCGAAATGTACTCAAATGGTCACAAAAAGTGATTATAATGTGTGCTGCTGACCACAACGAACGATGTTCACTAAGATATATCAAAGATAAGGTGACAGTTAAAACTGAGAGGGAGGCAGCTAGATATATACAGAGAGGGAGAGATAGAGAGAGAGAGAGAGAAATGAAAAAATTTAAATATAGAGGGAATTACTGATGTGAACCATGTTTCAAGAACGAAACAGATAAGTGAGGGAGGAGCGAGATTTGTACTTGGAGGTCAAGCAAGTACGATTTTCCTGTTTTTCAATAAAACCGTACAAACCATTGCATTGCAAGTAATATCAGTAAAGTCTTTGTAATATCCTTAAAAGGAGATATGTGAATGAATGAAAGACTTACATCTAGTTCATTTATTCATAACACAAAAATTTCTTATTTTTCTTACAAAACGCTTTTTTGTGTTGTATGTTGGAGAGAGAGAAAGAGAGAGAGAGAGAGAGGACGGACGTTGTATGGAAAACAGGCTTGCACACACATCCATTGTGTTTCTCGGTTCCGGATGAATGAAATCGCTTATGGTCATCGTTTCAACTGTTAATAACCGGAAAGTTATCTTCCGGACAATGATGATGTCCTTTAACAGTTTGTTACATTCGATGCATTTGGATGAAGGGTATGCTTAGTTGATGAAAGAGGATCAATGAAGTAAGTATGAGTTCAAAGAGACAGATGTCACAAATAGTCTCGACACGAATGACAATGAAGGTGAGAGGAAAGGAAAGGAAAGGATTATAGAGATCAAATACTTCTTTTTATAGTTATAAGTATGAAAAAAGAGTTTACAAATTAGGTTAATAAGAGTTTTGCGGAAGAGGGGAGTGTCAAGGGTAACGGAAATGAAATGTGTGTGTTGTTGTCCTTTTATAAGCCCCATCCCCCACCCTTTGCTTCGCCCCTTCCTAAATCTGAATATTGAGGAAAGAAGATAAACAGGATTTGTTGCTGACAAATGATTATTATCATCAATGATTTGAAAAATTTGAAACAAGAAAAAGCTCAGACAAAGAGACGTTTTGAAAAAGAAACTTTCATCTAATGAACTGAATCGTCTAAGAAGAAAGATAACAAAAAAAAAGAAGGAAAAACGAACAAGCTGAGAAGGAAGCTGTAGAAGTGTTACTTCCATTTCACGTATATCAGATGAGTTGTAAAGTTATGAGGAGAAAGAGCATTGGCAACATTCCAAATATAGTTGGGAGAGAGAGAGAGGATGAATGAAGAAGAAAAAAAGAAGAAGTTTGATTTCTTCTTGTTCATATACAATATCGATCATTACAGTCTTGTTGAAAAAAGAGTTGAGGAGGTGTACAAGGTGAGAAAAATGAATGAAAGTAACAATAGATGACCAAACTTTGAAACAGGATTAATCGGGCTAATCGAGACTGTTGGATATCTCGTTGTATATGAACATCTAGAACTGGCTAACTGGAATGAGAGCACAAAAGTCGGGTAAAAGAATGAATGAAGTTGAGAGAGACGAGATGACAAAAAAACGAGAAAAGATGAGAAAATTGTAGAAGGAGCAACCATTCACCTTGTCTGCAGTTGAACGAAATGAATCTCAAATGGAAGGTTCACGTAACTTACGTGAGTTACAAGAGTCACGTGGAATACGTGGACGGTCTAGTTCCTGGTATTGAATGAAGTAATGATGGAGGATAGTTTCTCCTAATAATTGGTTATAATGATTCTATAGAGAAGCTTTGCAATACTCTAGAAAAAATATAAATAAGGTCAATAAAGCCTCTCCGTTGTGCCTCTTATGGACATGGTTGGTGATGTCTTCCCGATTCTATTTCTCTATTACCATTTAAGTTGTTCAAAACCTCTCAGAGGGATGACCTTGTATGGAAAATGTATAGGAAGTTCAATGAAAATAATTTCTTCTAATAGAACAGCAGTCAGTTTGCAAGATAAAATTAATTTTGTAATATGACTAGAGAGAGAGTTGGGTGGGGAGAGAGAGTGAAGGAGAAAGATGTGGGGGAGAGGAAGCATAGAGAGAGTTGCAATCCTTTAACTTCTTCAAATTGTACGAAATGAAGGAAAAAGCATAAAAAAGATTTATTTTTAGATCGTACAATTTCCAAATCCCTTTATGGCTCTCTCTTATACAATAATTGAAGGAATGAGCAATGAAGTATTGTGTTCAGAAGCACAATGAACTCCAACAAGTATATAAGAAGTGGACAAGAAATGATATCTACACCTACTGCTTACTACTTCCTTTTCTCTTTTTCTTTCTGCTTCCTCCCTCCTTCTCTCTCTCTCTCTTCCTCTCTACCTTATATTTCAATCTATCACCATCTATCTATCATTTCTTCTAAAATACTTTTGAAGTCATGAAAGTCCTTTTTACTATTCTCATTGTGAGTGCATTGTACTTCGGATATGTCACTGCCTGTGCCGCCTATGGAATTGGCATTGGTAAGAATCCTTTCATCATACTACTTCTACAGTATACATCAATGGCTTTTCAGAAAAGTACAGAAAGATAGATGTGAGTGGCTTCTATCTCCCCATCCAATTGGTTGTCTCCGGAAGAAATGTGACTAATGGAATCATCAATCAAGCTGCTGTTAGTCCAGAACAAGCTCGTCAACGTGTCATGACTGTAACTGAAACCGTTGTAAGTACAACAAGTACAACTTCTCAATCCTCTTATTTTGAACTTATCTCTTTCGAACTGTTATAAGAGAGTGCATTACAGGTTAAGAGAGTTATTGGTGACTTGATGCAGATACTCGGCTTGGGTACTTTGATCGGAGATGTTGAAAGACAAATCCTTGTTGATACAGTCAGGTATCATTCATTTTAAGTTCTTTTTATCAAATGAATCTACTTAAGTTATGAGCCGATCACATGTCAAGAGTACAAGACTCGTCTCAATTCAACTCTCTGTGAGTTTCGAAATTCAAAATGAAAATATTGAAAAGGCAAATGTTATGTTTCTAGTTACCTACGCATCAACATACATCTGTGTGGTCGACGATGATAACATCATCCGCAATGTGTGTGACAACATGACAACTTGCAACTTGAACCAGCATATGTCTATTCCATCGGAGTACCGTCAATTACAAATAACTTTGAAGGTGAGAATGAGACAGAAAGAGGAGTAAGCTTGACTACACAATCATGTCTTTCAGATCCGAAATAGCATCGTGGGTACATGGACATCTGATGATTGGAATAGATTCTCTCGTTCATTCCAAACTGAAATGCTGCGAACTGAATTTGGAACCGCCTTCAATCAAGCCAGAATAACAGTTTCTTAACAGAATCCTCATTCTATTATATAATATCTTATCAATAAACTATTATAAAATGATGGAGGTGATAACAGAACGACATGGAATTGCCATTTGAGATTTACATTTGATAGATGAATAGAGATGGTTAACTCTGCGAAAGATTATTTTGCTGTCACCATTCTATTTGTAATTAATTTATTAAATTATGTTGATCGAGAAACTGTAGCAGGTTATCTATATTGCTAACTATATGGTATAATAACAAGCTATCTGTTTATAGGAGTCTTGGATGATGTTCAGCATTACTATGATATCAATGATACCTTAGCTGGTCTCATACAAACTGTCTTTTTGGTTTTCTTTGTAATAGCTTCTCCTATCTGTGGCTATCTGGGTGACAGGTTCAGTCAGAAATGCTTCTGAACACAAGAGTTTGTTGAACGCTTCAGATATAACCGTAAATGGGTCATCTGTGTGGGAATGTCTATATGGGTTGCAGCTGTAATTGGATCCTCAGTCATTCCATCAAATGTATGATAATATTCAAAAATCTGTAATATCATTGAACAATTGAACTCTCATAGATGTTTTGGCTGTTCCTTCTTCTTCGAGGGATTGTAGGTGTCGGAGAAGCAAGCTATTCGAATGTCAGTCCATCTATGATCTGTGACATGTTCACGGGCCAAATAAGAAATCGAATTTACATGGTGTACTACTTGGCAGTACCTTGTGGAAGGTATTCATTTTACAAAATATGTTTTTTATTAAGTTTTCAGTGGCTTAGGTTATATGGTGGGATCAAACATCTCATCCCTAACTGGACATTGGCAATGGGGTGTCAGATGCACTGCCATCGCGGGTATTCGTTCGAACTTCCAATTTAACTCTCCGTTGTAACTCTAAGGTTTGATTGGAATAGCCATTCTGGCTTTCCTTATCCCTGAGCCTGAAAGAGGAGCTTCGGACAAGGAAGATGAAGAGAAGGAACTCATCATTGAACCATTGGAGCCTTCTTCCATTTGGCAAGATCTCTACTCAATCTGTACCAAGTACTATATCCAACAATTTCTCATTCTAACAACTAAATTCAGTGTCACATTCATCAACTGTACTATTGCATATACATCTTTAGTATTCGTTGCTGGAACTATGCTCTGGTGGACCCCTACCGCAGCAGAGCATCGCTTGGCTTGGGAAAGAAATCTCACAAGCACTCACAAGTTGAGTGATAAGGATAAAGATAAGTAAGCTATACATTCTGATATCTATTGCACTGAGCTATTCAAAGAATCAACATGCTGTTCGGAATAATTACATTGGCATCAGGCATCATTGGAGTAGTCAGTGGAACGTTCCTCTCATGGGTATCTCACCCATCTCACCTATTTTGATCTGATAGTTGCTTCGTAGGCATTGCAAGAAGGTAAACTTGGATTGGGACGATTCAAAACAGATCGCGCGCCTCCAATAATCTGTTCAATCGGAGCCACACTTGCTTTACCTTTAATGTTTATCACAATTCTAATGAACGACGACAGTGCTGTTGCTCTATGGGTTTGTTACATCAGCTTCGATAGGAAGACTGAAGAAGATTGTTTTCAGATACTATCCTTCTTCTCCATAACATTCTTATGTTTCAATTGGGGATTGAACGTGGACATCGTAATGGTAGGATGTAAACGATTTTCCAAACCACTTAGTAACATTCAAAATTTAATGGCGCGAAAACAAATTGTCACGTAACTTTCACGTACCCACATTTGAGCTACAGAACGCACAAACTTTTTATTGATTTTTCATTTATGCATTGCTTATGCGGTTGTGTTACATTACTCCTCTGACTACAATTGCATTTTACAGTCTGTAGTAGTGCCATGGAGAAGAAGTACGGCTTTCTCATGGTTCATGTTGTCATCTCATCTATTGGGTGATGGTCCAGGACCATATATCATAGGAGCTGTAAGTAATCGAACAACACTTGAAATACTAAGTCTTACCATATGCAGATATCAGATGCTATTCGGACAGATGATACACCATTAGCTCATTACAAATCATTAGTTGCAGCATTTTCATCTTTACTTGGCTTGCTGGTAGCAAGCTCAGTCATGTATGCAGTAACAGCATTAACGCTGCTAAAGGACAAAGAGAAGGTTAATGAAGAAATCCTGAGGAACAGCAAACAGCAATGAAATGAATGAAAAGCATTACATCACAACAGATACTCTTATCATTATGAATAATAAAAAGAAGAGAGAGAGAGATAAGTCATTTTTATTAAATTACATATGAATTATACACGATGAGTAGAGCTTCTGCTCATACACTCAACTCACTCACTCACTTACTCATTCACACATATGCAAATGACAACACGAGGTTTGAACGGTGTGGACAACGGAAGATGATTGGCTTGGCCTGATTTCATATTAATATGGTTAATTGATGACATTATTATGCCAATATTATATAATATATAATTAATGAAAAATACTCTTATTTTGGAGAAATTTCTCTCGTCGTTTCTTCTTTTCTTCTTCGTCGCGTCGTTTCTCTTCCTGCTCCTGTTTGATTTCTTCTTCAAACTTTGACAGCTTCGTTTGTTCTGCTATCTAAAATAAGAATCATATAAAAAACAATATATCAATACAATCTTACTTTAGCTTGAAAGAAACTGGCTGCCGCTAAGACTCCTTCTTTGGATACATCCACGGATTCAGCCAATTGAGTAAACACCTCAGAACATCCTAACTGACCTTGAGCAGCCAGACGGAAAAGGAGGAAAAATTCTCGCATACTAATCTTTCCGTCGTTATCTTCATCAACCTAACAACCAAAAAAATTACATCCATCAAGTGACGAAGATGAAAAAACCTTTTTTATTATGTCTTTCAAAGAGATGTGTGTCTGAGCTTCACCTAATTTCTCCATCATGCGCTTCAGTTCATTGAAATCGATGAACCCATCACAATCTTCATCAAACCTTAAAAGGAATGTTATTACTCAACATACATCTCTCCAAATACATACTTCTTGAATGTTTCTTGGAAGAACTTGATTTGCTTTCTGGAAAATTCGGAAAACTCAGCATAGAGACTAAGCTTTCGGTTAACAAACTGTGGTTGAACATCACCTGCAAAGGAAACAACAGTCAGATCGAGCACATGATGAGAATTAGTATAAGGATTACCGAGCATATAAATATTTTCTTGGTCATTGGAAAAAGCAGACATCTCTGACAGACTTGGTGTTAGTAGAAATTGGACAGAAGATTTTTGTTTCAAATGACTTTCGTCCAAACAAGATGAGTAAAGAGAGATGAGAAAAGAAAGAGGGACAGATGGAGAGGAAGAGAGAGAGAGGGAAAGATGGGCGGGTGAACTGTATTTTGACCCGCCTTTATATAGTTTTGATCAAAAAACAATACAAAATCCATTTGGACTTTAGTCTTTCTCATCTTAATCAACTGATTCTCGAACAAAGTAAATGATTGATTCATCTTATTGCTCTTTAGCTGTTTAACCGAATTTTTGAAATATTTGATTGAAGTTATAGATTCTAATGAGAGAGTAGAGTGAGAGAGAAAGTGAATGTAGGGGGGTGGAGAGAAGATGAGTCATGTGGATGTTGAAAAACAAGAACAGTTGCAGTTGTGATTCATCCATCGGTCACTGTTTGTTCATTTGTTGAGATTTTACTATATTTGGATAATTAATTAATTATGTCTATCTATCTATTGTACATGAGATGTAGATGGAAGAGAATTATGAAATCTTAAGTTGTCATCTGGTGAGTATCGTATTTCAATGTGTTCCAAGTGTCCAACAACTAGCTATGAGTAGGAAAGATGGTGATTGACAACGCAAATGGCGGCAAAACGTATAAAACAAGGAGGGAGAATGAAGAGAATGCGTTAGAGGGTTATGTTAGGAAGTAAAAGATGATAGAAAACAATTAGAAGAAGAGGGAAGATAAGTTTACAAGAACAATGTCTATAAGAGAGAGGACGTATTGAAACGAGCGCCAAATAAGGAAAAATTAATGACAAACTCAATCAAGGACAGTTTTTAGATGATATTATTGAGAATTCATTGTTTCAGATAATATGAAGTCAGGTATTACCTTCTAAGATCTTTGTTCGACGTTCCAACATGGCATTCAGTTCATCCGGATTCTCTTCGACTTTGGGACTGATCTTCTGAAACGGAAATGATTTGGATGGAAAACAAGTGACATATGGTTATAATTTATATGAAAAGCACATATGTTTTAGATGATGCAATTTCAAAAGACGGTTTTACAATGGAAAATACCTTAATTGGAGGTGAAGGAATGGGCTTGTCTGTCTCAACTGACATGAGAGGATCACACAATAAGCCCAACGGACTGACGAACGGCTTCTAGAACAAACGTTTTTGTAATGATGATGAGTGTATGGATGGATGGATGTTTTCTTTTATTTATATTGTATTACATATGAAAACACAGATGAAGCATAGTTGATAGCAAAAGTTGATGAATGTTACAAAAGCATACTCACTCGTACTACTGGAGATTGAGGTCGACTTTGTGGTTTTGGAGGCGGCACGGGTGGTGGTGTCGATGGTCGAGAGCTGCAAAATGCCATATGTATCGAAAAGTAATAAGCAATTCAATACCTTCCACATTCGGTTTTGATCATCTCGATTAGCAGAGGAGACGGAATGTTACCCATCTTTGTTCGTAGTACTTCTGGAGATTTAACTGGGGTAATGGGACGTGATGATGATTGCTCTTCCATTTCTTTCTGTTGACGAGCTTCTTGCTCAGCAATCTCTCTAGCTACTTGCTCTTCTAACTCTTCAAAGGAATCTTTCTTTTTCGGTGGTTCCTCAGGTATGGTTTCTATTGCAGATTGAAGTAACTGAGGCTGTGGAGGTGCGGGGAGAGCGTCTGCTGCATGAACTCGGCTTGGCTTAGGTGGAGGAGTTGGGGATGTAGGCTGTGCGGCCTGGGATGGTAGCGGTGGAGGAGGAGGAAAATCAGGCAAAGAGGGAGATTCACGGGGTTGTTCATCGGGAGAGGCTAAAGTGGATGGAGTTGATTGCTCCGTGTTTGAATATATCAAGTTAGTTCTATTTTCATCACACAGTACAGGGTTTACAGCTTTTCTATTTCTTTGAGCAGCCAGTTTCAGCTCAAGCTCACTTCCGTCAAACTCAGGGCTACAACGCTTAGTGGGAGTTTCTGGTCTTTTGTGATGCTCAATAGAGACCATGGGACATTTTGATTGGGATTGTACATTGGATGGATTATTTTCAAACTCTTTTTGAAGAAGATCACGAATTGTTGTTTTGGGTGGAACTCCTTTGACTGTTGAAACTGATTGAATTGGAGGAACAGGGGATGAAGATGATACAGGAGAACAGCTCTGAGTAGAAGGAGGTGGTGGAGGAGGAATAGTTGGAGAAGATAAGATCCTCTTCGGACTTGATGGAGGCTCAGCAACAGAAGTTGAAGGAGCAGGAGGCACGGGTGACGATGGAACTGGTGGTGGTACCTGTAAAAAAGAAAAAATAAATTGAAATATCATAGAAGAGGAAGATGAGAAGTGTCAAAGCATTTGTTTCACACTTGTTGGTCATTTGATTTGTCCGTTTCTTTCGAAATGACATAACCACACTCGATTGTTGTAATATGGTGTTAGTGTTTCGTTCGTTAAGAAGAAAACGAATAGAAAAGCTATACGAAGGAAGAAGGTAATGAACTTCCCGTTCGGATTTCTAATCAGAAGCGATGTTTGAGGAAACAGGTCAGGACAGCTCTCGAAATTATAATTATTATTTGTTTTCAAACATGAAAATGTATGATTCCTGACGTATTTGTATGATATTTGAAAAATGAATTAAGCATTTGGGAGAATCAGTGAGGTTGGTTGGCGAAGGAAAGGAAGCAGACTCCTCACTCACGTTATTGTTGTTTTCTTCTTTTCGTTCTAAAGCCTTTTGGATTAGATCGTCTATTGACACGGAGTTATCTACTTCGACATACGGATTTTCGATAGTCTGCAATAGAGAATCATTGACTTGGCTTTGAAAAAAAGAAGAAACAAACATACCTTCTGTGGAAAGACTGGTGGTGCTGGAGGTGGAGCTACCTTGATTTCATCATTCTCATTTTCATCTTGAACACAAGCTAGACGTTTGGCTAATTTGGCAGCCAGCTCTTTGTCTGCCATTCTGCAATGAAAGGAGTTATGGAATGGATGAGAAGGATATTAGCCATTACGGATGAAGACGATTGTGTTCAAGTCTTTAAGGAGGTTAAAGAGGATGGATAAGTTAAACAAATAATAAGAAGACAACGAAACTGTCTGAGAGACGATGATCGAACATCTTCACGAACACAAAAAATGATTTTGGGGAAAGAAGGAGGAGGTAGATGATGATATGCAGATGAATGTTATGAAATGTAAAGAATGAAAAACAAATGTTACATATTATAATATAACTTAATTGTTCTGAATTGAAGGAACATTCAGGTGACGAATAACCGGATGGGATAGGATATGCTCAAGTCGAGCTAGGCGGAGTTTCGCCAGATTCTATCTGCACCAGCTCTTTTGAATGAGAGAGAGAGAAGCAGCTGAGACTCTGTTTCGAATGAGAGATAGACTTCTAAGATGATATTATGTGAGAGAGAGAATAAACCAAAATATGATAGATAAAAGAGAGAAAAAAAGATTAAGAAAGAGGAGAAAAGCAGAAAACAGGTACAGATACGAAGAAGAAAGTCCATCGGTTAGAGGGCAATCAGCTGTTGGACGGCCGGACACAAAACGTTTTTGCTAAAGAAGAAGAAGAAGAAGAAGCAAAAGCCATGCAATGCGAATGTAAACTGGAGACGTAGTAAACCATTTCGTTTAAAGTAAAAAGACGGAAGGCATGTTAGCTTTAACACTCAAGAACTATCTTCTCAGGTATGTTGACAAGTAAGCCCTCTGCTTAACGCATGCATGCATATTCAGCACTTCGCGGAAAAATTCCTTAGGATGAATCATACATTAAACAACTTCTCATTCCAAGATGTTTCTGATGATCTTTAACGTGAGAGTAATTGAAATGGACAGCCGTTCTCACTTTCAATACTCCAATCCAATTTCCTGTGCGAAAACAGAGCAACTCATGTGTCTTCACCAGCTCTTTGCCCCCAAATGACAGATACTCTTCTCACTTACAACAACATCAACAAAGAATTATTATTTATTAACTATTACAAAATAGTAACTAGACTGTTTATAAGAGAAATACCCGAAGATGTGGTCGAAACTACTGTTCACGCGGAACAGAGGAAACTGCGTCTGAGAAGCTTATTGATAGCTCTCGATTGGGGGACAAGTACATACAAGGTTTCTGAAATATAAATGATTATAGAATGTTCTCATCAGTTATACTGTCTATACCTGTCTCCATATTGATCATCAATTCTTCCAACTGTTGGCCAGTTCTTGTGATGACACCATTCCTTAGGGAAAGCAGCCAGTTGACGTGAATATGGCATATCCCAGTTATCCGACATTACTTTAGCCATTGTGTGTGGTGCCATCTGAAGTTAAAGCTTTCGATGGTTCGACCATTTCAAAGGATTTTATGATTAGCTTTATGTTTCACGATCATTTTAAACTAAACTTTCGTGATTGTTAAACTCTCGAAATGCTTTGAAAGACACATTTTGATTACCTTCAATGGGTTTCGGACGCGATCCAACTCTCCTGATTCAATCATGGAGATCTCTTCTCTGATGGCCAATAGGGCTTCGATCAAACGATCCATTTCACCTTTATCTTCACTCTCAGTTGGCTCAATCATCAAACAATCATGTACAGGCCATGACATAGTTGGAGAATGGAATCTACAATGAGATATCAATGAGGACTATGCGTATAGTAACTAACCCATAGTCCATCAAACGCTTAGCTATATCAACTACTTCAATACCAGCTGATTTCTTGAATGGCTTACAATCCAATATGAACTCATGAGCAACAAGACCTTGTTCATCTGAATAATAGGCAAATAAACCACCATATACTTACTCAAATAAGAAACCTTTATATACTATTCTATAAGCAGATTCCAATTTCTTAGCCATATAGTTAGCGTTCAGAATAGCTAATTGAGAAGCTTTCTTCAAACCATTTGCTCCCATCATACGTATGTAAGCCCATGTAATTGGAAGGATACTGAGATACTCAATGTTCATTAACTTTGGCATATTGCCAGCTCACCTGGCAGATCCCCATGGAGCTGAAGCAACAGCGCCTCTGGAACGACCATCAACAGGAACAATAGAATGCCCGGGTAAGAATGGGGCTAGATGTTTCTTCCTTAAAATGATCCATTGTAGGAACATCCAGAACAGTTTAACTTACACTCCAATTGGTCCAACTCCTGGTCCTCCTCCACCATGTGGAATACAGAACGTCTTGTGTAGGTTGAGATGAGATACGTCACTTCCATAATCACCAGGTCTACATAAACCAACCTGAAGTAGGAATATTAATTATACAATTTCGGAGCTGAAAGAGAATCGACCAGTTCGCATGCGTAAGAAACGAAAAATGACTTTAAGAGCGAATCACAAGATTACGTGGAATTCCACGTGAAACGTGTCGTTGCAATAATGGCGCCAAATCTACAGGAATTCAAAGTTACGTACTTGAGCGTTCATGTTAGCACCATCCAAGTATACTTGTCCTCCATGTTCGTGAATCTTATCACAAACGTCTCTGATGGACGATTCAAACACTCCGTGAGTTGATGGATAGGTGATCATGATAGCAGCTAGTTCGTTAGAGTATTTCTCAGCTTTGTTAGATAAATCTTTGAAGTTTATGTTTCCGTGCTGATCAGAATCGACAACAACAACTCTCATGTTAGCCATTTGAGCTGATGCAGGATTGGTTCCGTGAGCGGATGTGGGGATCAAGCATACCTTAATGAACAATGGAATAAGATCAAAATCAAATGTCTACAAACATTTCTTTGAGTGTCACCACGTGAGTTGTGGTAGTTCTGAATGGTCAATAGTCCAGCGTATTCGCCATTGGCTCCAGAATTGGGTTGAAGACTTGAAGAGGCAAAGTTACAACGAAAAATGAAATAAGAGAAACCTGAAGGAGTCATATCCTGTGATTTCACACAGCCAGTTCTCTAAGTTATTAAACACTTCCTGGTACCCTTTGGTCTGAGAAGTTGGGGCATATGGATGAATGTTGTTGAACTCTGGCCAAGTAATTGGCTGAAAGTATATTATTTAAAGAAAGCTATCATCTTAGCAACTACAATAAGCTCAGCACTAGCATTCAGCTTCATTGTACAAGAGCCAAGAGGAATCATGGAGTGAACTAATGAAGTATCCTTATTCTCTAATCGTTTCATATATCTGAAAGAAAGCAAGGCTCCTTTGCTTATGTGAAGATCTGGTTGTCATACCTAACAAGTTGTTGTTCACTGTGATAACTGTTGAAAACGGGATGCTCAAGGAAAAGAGAAGTACGAGCATGCTCACTGTTTCCTATCAAAGGAGCTGGTAACTTAATTCTTTCCTCGGTGAGAACATCCTGTAGAAAAGCAAATATACAAGATGAGATGTCAACAACAAACAGCTTGTACAAGTCTGCCAGTGAAGACATAGATGAGATCGATGAGATCTGGGATCTTGGTGGTTTCGTCCAATGAAACTCCAACACTACCATCTTCGAAGTGTCTTAAAACAGTTGAATGAAAAACTGTAAAAGAAAATTCAAACCTGAAGTTCATTTTCTTTTCTTCCGCTCGGGTCTTGAAAGAATTCATATCATCAACGTGTACTTTGAGAGTATCGAAGAAGTTCTTGTGCTCAACTACTAATCCGGCTTCTTTCAAATCTGAAGAAACACATCGTTGCACAACCTCGAAGAATCTGATGAGAGAATTCTCTCTCATCCAAGGATATTCACGTACGGTATGCTAAAGTGGCTGTGGACTTGTGTACTAAACGAGCAATTTCGGCTAATCTTTTGGGGCCATGATATACAGCGTACATGGCAGCCATGTTCGCTAACAGAGCCTTCAAATATGAATTTTAGATACAGTCTGACACTTTGCCTTACTTGTGCAGTACAGATGTTACTTGTTGCTTTGTCACGACGGATATGTTGTTCACGAGTTTGAAGAGCTAATCTCAAAGCCTTTTCTCCATTGGCTCCTCTAGACACTCCGATGATACGTCCAGGCATTAATCTACTCAAGGAATTCTTGGCATCTGTTTTACCGACAGCCATGAATCCTGCATGAGGACCACCATATCCAAGAGGAACTCCAAATCTTGAAGAGCACAGTTCAATTACATGAGTATAAGTATAGAAACCTCTGAGCTGAACCAACAGCAACATCGGCTCCGAGATCTCCCGGTGATTTGAGAATTGTGAGAGCAAGAAGATCACATACTAAGATGACTAATGACTAAAAATATTTCTTTTATTTGCTTTCAATATAGAATTTGAAAATTCCTTCATGTTTCTCCCCTATGATAAGAAAGTAACTTATGATCTCAAGTTGTAATGATTGCAACCCCGTCTGATGTTCTCAGTGTTTTTTTTCTATTCTGGGTACATTTGGGTTCAATTGTCCTTCACTCTCACTGATAAGGACATGGAAGCTTTAAACATTTCTTAATCTTTGTAATTTTCCATTCTTCCGTAAAAGGAAAATGCTGGCGTGATCAGAAAAGCAAATGATAACGGTGTGGACTGATAGGACTTTTGGTCAAAAGAAACAAAAAAAAATTTGCAACAGTACTAAGAGAATAGAGAGGAAAACTGATTTCATGCCCGTATATGGTTTATGAGAATATGTGTTTCTACCGTATTCAGTTGTTTCATCTTTACATATGACGTTGCTATTGCTTAGACGTACCTTATTCTCATGAGCTGTAGCAATCAACTCTTCCAAGTTTTGGACGTTTCCTTCTGTGTTTGGATATTGGATCACTATGGCAGCGACATCTTTATCAAACTGTGTAGCATCGATAGACACATTCTCAGTGACAATGCCAACTGGTCTGCAAAGTCATAAAGTCAGTTCGTTTTGGAAAACTTTGAAACTGTTTCTCTTAAACTTTATTATCAATTTATGTTTGGAACTAACACCACATGGCTGACTGAAGCCATTTCACTGTTTGACTCTCGTAAAACAGCCTCAGGGAGACATTATGGCAGTTTATAAAGATAATTCGTCTTATCTCCTCAATCAGATGGAGGACATAATGATAATCATTTTAAAATAACGAGACAAAAGAATTATCAAAAACAAATTTTTGTGAAACGAAACTTACGTGCTACGTGTGTTGATCACATCGATGTTCTGTGGATGAAGTTGGTTATCCAAAAGTACCTGAAAGGTTATATCTCAACTTGTTCAGCAGAGTTTATACGGAACCTTTGATCTACGTGTTGCTCTACAAGCCATGGCTACAGCTTCAGCTGCGGCTGTAGCTTCGTCAAGAAGAGAGGCATTGGTGTTAGCCAAACCAGTGAGCTCAACAATCTTAAATCACAGATTATTATAAGGATGTTACTATCCTCAAAACCATTGTTTGATAGTTCAGCAAAGACTCGAGACGACCCTGAGAAATTTCAGCTTGATATGGTGTATATTGGGAGATCCTATAAACACAGAGATGATTTGATTGATCTAGTGAAGTAGAGACCATCCTATATTTTGAGTGATATTGCGGAGAATAACGGCTGGCACGATTGTATCGTAAAATCCCATTCCAATATATGAGCGGTAGACCTGTATACGGATGTACTCAGTCAACAACTACTGAGCTTACCTTGTTCTTAGCTGCAACGCCTTGAAGTTCCTTCAACATCGAGTGTTCATCCAAAGGTTCAGGGAGCTCTGTAAATGGAGCATTCATGCTTTCGTCCAGGCTCATTGATACCTACCAAGTTCTTTCTCAAGTTGAATCTTCTGAGGTACATTGGTGTTGGTTAATTCGTCCAAATTCTGAAAAGCACATGATGTGGCGAAGATATGACATGAAACATACTTTGAACCCAAGAAAATCGAGCATCTGTTGTTTCTCCAATCGACTAGGCCCAATATGCCTATCAGCGAAAGCATCATATTGCACAAGTCTTGAAGAAAGAATAGGACGAGCAGCCACTGATGGGTTTCTCCACAGAAGGGCAGAATTCCTCCATGCTGAGCGCAACATCTTCGCTTAAGAAGAGTTTGAAATCTTTTCAATCAGAGAGATGTATACGAGATGCACGAATAAATCTTTTAATCAATTGATATTTCAAAAAAACAAGATAAATGGCAAAATTAGTGTAACATCTAAGGTCCTTTTAGGACAAAGCCGGTTTCGTCTAGGAGAAGAATTTGGAACTTCAAGACACACACACACATCGTGATAGTAAACTGATAGACAGGCAGTACAAAACGACAAATTGGAAAAAAGTAGTCAATAATGGCATGGCCTAAACGTGGCCTACTCATATATACTGATTATACACGGGAGGATATTATACTTCGTACAGTTTAGTCTGTGGTTTGATCTGATATGGTGGTGGACGCAAGAGGTGTTTTTTCTCAAACCTAGTCGTAGATTGGAAATAAACACAAATTTAGAGAATATATATCAGACGCATGAAAGATTAGAAAACATTGTCGATGAGCTGCCACATCGATAGAAATTCAACAATAACGGGAGTGATGTGTTGAGAAAACTGATAACATGACAGTTTGTGGTGCAGCCCCTTTTAAAACTTTAGATGTTACAGTCTTTGCTTATTCAATCCTCAAACAAGTACAAGCCTCTACGAATTTGCTAATACAACACATGGCTCACGCAAATCACACTCTTCAGACTAATTTATGATTGAGATTGCATTTCATTGAAATTTCAAACACCAGGAAATGGAGGAACTGGAACGATTTTGTAAAAACAATTTCTCAAAGAACTTCTGACAGTCAAGAGTTAATAGAATAAGAAAACAAAAATCTTAATCATCATTCGATTCATCATTATCTTCAACTTCGCTTTCATCTTCTTTTCTCGAATCTTCGTCTTCATTTGGAACATTTTCTAATGAAGTTTCATGACTGACAGCACCTTTCTTAGAAGCTAAGCCTTCCTCTTCATCGTCATCGACAGCCTTAACAGTATGTTAGCATTGCTACCAATATCTTTCTCACCTTCCGTTTTCTCCCCGAACTTTTCTCTGCTTCATAGGCATTTCGTAACGATTCGTAGAATTGTTCGACGTTGATATCAGTTTTCTTAAACAAACAGTATCAGAAAATGAGATTCGAGTAGTACCGAGAATCCAATTGTGATCAAAAAAATTTGCATTTGAGTAGAATCGGGTCCCATTGCACTGATCTTTATCCGTTTCTGGTCGACACGCTCCAAGATCATATCATTTATAATTTTTGAATTGATAACCACACGATGATTTCCGGCCGTGCGAGCAACTGAACAACATCATCAACCTTCAGGCTTCTAACGTGAAACTATACCTATTCGGAAATGCGAATCTCCATTAATTCTCCTACGGTTCAACTTAATATGACTGAGTCCTTTCTCAACCCATTTGCTCTTTTCTTTATCGAAAATATGAAGCTTGCAAGCCGTCTATAAGCAGAAGATCATCTTTGATGTTTCAAGAAGGAACCAACCTGATGCATGACTTCATCGTCCTCCTCTCCTGTTATGACAGTAACGCTTGTGCTTGCCTGTTGTCTTTCTTCAATTTTCTGTTTCTCGGTAGCTGCAGCAGCTTCTGCTTCAGCACGGAATTTATCTGGATTCTAAACACATGGCATATGAGTAAAGATCAATCTGAACCAGTCACTCACACTTTCCGTTTTCTCTTCGGGATTCGATGCTACATTTTTGAATAATTCTTCTGCTTTCACCGGAGCATTATCATCAGTTTCCTCAGTAACTTCATTATCCTAGAAAAAGCCATTTGAGAAAGAAATGAGAACAACAAAGAACACAACCGCTTTCATTGCCTGACTCAGCAGAAATGAAAGTCATACGTAAGCACGTATGTACACGGCTACGTGAACTTGATGCGAAACTAAAGAACTTACAATAATAACACGTGAAGCAATATTTGAACCAAATACAAAAGAAGGTTGTTCTTTGGATTTCTCTTCCTTCTCTCGTTTCTCAGCAGCCATTTTAGCTAGAACATCGCTAAGGTTTTTCTTTTCTAATACGAGATGCTTCGAGGATGAGGAGGAATCGAAGTTTTTCTTGGCTACAAATGTTGAATTAATAAACAAAATAATGTTTCACATACTCTGTGACCACACTTCATCAGCTTTCTGACCTAATACGGAAGCCCTAAATACTGGCTTTCTTGGTTGTTCGTCTCTCGCAACTGAGTCGGACATCTGAAAGTATGAGTGTTTGCTCCAAGGGCGAAAAGAAAGTAAGTCTGTATGAAATATAGTAAGCAAAGAAAACTAGCATATTCAGAAACAAACTTTGTTTTAAGGAAAGCAGTAAAAGAACAAAGTATACGTTTCTTTCGTTTTGTGATTTGAATGGGGCATTTGACTTGCACTCTGTTTACGCTCGGTAAACAGCGTGCTCTCGAGATTTACATGAAAAGCTTTATTTTTGAAGTTTTAACTTCATAAAGCTGATTTTAAAAACGTTTTCCATTTTTTTTTCTGTGTCGACGTTCTTTGACCGTTTTTGTATATTTCATGTGCTTCCTTCACTGCTCCGTTCTTGCAGGTACTTAGATTTCGCATGTTCTTTGCA